GCACCATAAATTTTTTGAACATGGGCTAGACAAAGGAAAGAGAGATCGTACCCGTGATAAGAATAAACATGTGATGGAAACATCTGTGGCAACACAATATACAAAAGTTCGACCAAATGAGGCCAATGTCCAGCCGAAGAATGTAAAGTTTAATGGTGTTGGGAAGCCAAAAAGTTTGAAAGATAGACTTGAAAAGGAGTATTCATTTCCCAAAGAAGTTGTTGAGGATTTCTTTAAGGGATTAACCGAGATGAAGCTGGTGCAATTGCCTGAACCTCATTAAGTAAATGAAAATAATAAGAGACACGATGATGGACGATATTGTAAGTATCATCGCATGCCAGGACACACCTTAGAAGAATGTTTTGTTTATAAAGATAAAGTTTAAGAAATGATTGATGATGGAACCATTGATCCTACATTGCTTAAAAATTTTAAGAAAGGAGGACAATCCGTTAATATGGTGTCTATTAGTCAAGTAGATGAAAAAGTTTTGCCTAAGTGCATAGACACCTTAACATTATCGTCATATGCAGTGCCTTATGTACCACCATTATATCGTCCTATGGAAGATTCATCATTACCAGTGACTCCCTCAAAGGTGCCACATCATGTAATCCATATGAAAGAGTTGTGGTCCCCTTCAACTCCACCGACTATAATTGAGAGGAAAAGTAGGACTCCAACACTATTTCCTATCCTCACATGCTCAGTAAAACAATCTCCACCATCCCACATAAAGAAGCGTCTATTTATTGAGGATACAGAATTTAGTAGGACAATGTCGGTTTTAATACCAAGGCAAAACTCAGCCTTACCAGAAATCCCATTGCCTACAACAGATGACGATGATTCGATGTCAGAACCTGAGCAGCTATATACCAATCAAGGCAGACCTTATGTCAACAAGAAACAAAAAAAGAGACTGGCTTTTAAAGAAAGGGTTAAAGCTACGAGGAACAACCCTATACCAACGGGGGCAGCTCGACCTCCTCTTTCCAAAAAGAAAAGAACTCCTAAATACAGAATACTTCATAAGGTGATGCCAAAGGATGAAATTGAAGGATTTATTGCAAGAATTTCTCGTGAACTTTACATTAATAAGCCTCAAGCGGTGGATAATAATACCCATTGGGAAGATGATTTACATTGCAATATTGTCGGAGTTGTGGAAGGAGATGATGGACCATTATACTTCCTAGAAGAAACTCCTGAGGTTAATATTACCACTCATTCTGGATTTTAGACAAAAATGATCCATCCTCCTCCAGTTGAGTACATAATGTCTCACAAGGAAAAATCTCAACCTCCTGATAACGTAACTCCAAATGTGGCAGGTCCTTCTGAGACCGTCAAATACAATGTACTTGCACATCTAAAGAAAATACCATCACTTCTTAGTGTGTATGATGCTTTGTGTTTGTCTTCTGATTTGCGAAAGGCATTTGTTACCGCAATGCAATTTCCTGATGACTATAGGGTAGAAGTAGCTAATGTGGATACAAATCCACTCGAAGTCTTAAATATTGAATTCACTGATGAAGACCTTCTGTTGGGCTCAAAGCTTCATAATCGACCTTTGTTAGTCACGGGTGATTTAGAAGACAAGTCAATTAATCGAATCATGTTGGATTGTGGGTCTGCTGTAAATTTAATCCCTTTAAGGACGTTGACAAGGCTGTGATATACTATAAGAAATCTTACAAGAAGCAACATCGTCATCCAGGGATTTAATCAAACAAGGCAACAAGCTTTAGGGACTATGCGTTTGACCCTTAGATTTCAAGGATGGATTTCTACTCCTCTCTTTCATGTGATTGATGCATTCACATCTTACAATGCATTATTAGGACGTCCTTGGTTGCATGAATACGACGTGATATCCTCCTCCTTGCATCAGTGCTTCAAGTATAAAACACCCGAGGGAGAAATTAGAAGAGTATTTGCAGATACACAACCTTTTACAACTGCAGAAGCCTTCTATGCTGATGCAAAATTTTACTTCGAGGGTGTTATTGTCAAGGAGATCAAAGGAACCGATTTCAGAGCTAATAGAGTTAACCCTAAAGAAGAAATTGCTCATGATGGAGCAAATCCAAAGAAAGTTACATATCACTATATACCTCGAGAACAAAGGAAAGATGGAGACCCTGTCTTTCAAACGCTTGAGTATGAAGTCTTGAATTCTAACAAAGGTAAAGAGCTTAATGGTCAAAAGACAAAATCCATGGTCTTTGTACCAACCTCTTCTATAAATTATAAAGATTCAATATCTTGTCTTCCTATATTTTATGACCAGAAAGCCCTTAATATGATGAAAAAAATGGGTTATGATATAAAGTTAATTTCAGATTTAATTAACGGAGAAGGTTCTCTTGCACCTTTTGACAAAATACTTAGTCCAAAACAAAGAGATGCTCTTTACCATGGCAAAAGACTATCATCTATGAAGAAAGGTTTAGGATATGAAGTATGCATGACATCATCTCAAGAACTTATGGACTTACAGCCAGCCCCATCCCAATTGGAAGAAGGAGAACAAGCTACAACAGATGAGTTAAAGGAAATAAATCGTGGCACTAGTGATGACCCTCGTCCTATATTTATCAGTGCCCATATGTGCAAGGATGAAAATGATGAATACAAACAATTCTTATCCAAAAACAAGGACGTCTTTGCTTGGAGTTACAAAGAGATGCCTGGGCTTGATCCAAATGTAGCAGTACATCGCTTAGCCATTTTAAGTGATATTACACCTATTAAGCAACAACAGCATCGTTTTCGTCCAAAAATATTACCTCAAATAATAGCTGAGATTGATAAACTTCTTGCTGCTGACTTTATCCGAGAAGTCAAATATCCTACATGGTTGGCTAATATAGTCCCTGTTAAAAAGAAAAATGGACAAACCCATGTTTGTATCGATTTTCGTGATTTAAATAAGGCTTGTCCAAAAGATGATTTTCCTCTTCCTATCTCTGAATTATTGATAGATTCTACTACAGGTCATGAAGTATTATCATTCATGGATGGATATTCGAGGTACAATCAAATTCGTATGGCACCAAAAGATGAAGAGTTTACTGCTTTTAGGACACCAAAAGGTATCTTTTGTTATAAAGTGATGCCTTTTGGACTAAAAAATGCCGGTGCAACATACCAACGTGCTATGACAGAGATTTTTACCGATCTCCTTCATGATAAGGTAGAGTGTTATGTTGATGACATTGTGATAAAAACAAAACATAGAAGTGAACATTTACAAGATCTATCTTTGGTTTTTGAACGCTTAAGAAAATATCAGTTAAAGATGAACCCGACAAAATGTGCATTCGGTGTCTCATCAGGAAAATTTTTGGGGTTTGTCGTTCGTAAAGATGGAATTGAGATTGATCCAGCAAAGACAAAGGCTATCATTGAGATGCCACAACCACGAAATCTACATGAGCTGAAAAGTCTTCAAGGGAGACTTGCATACATTCGACGTTTCATTGCTAATTTAGCCGGCAGGTGTCAACCATTTACAAGACTAATGAAAAAGGACGTTTCTTTTGAATGGGATGATGCATGTCAAAACGCTTTTGAAAGTATAAAAAAATATTTGGCGTGCCCACCTGTGCTAGGAGTCCCCATTAAAGGGCGACCTCTAACATTATATACAGCTGCATTACCCATGTCTTTGGGGGCATTATTGGCCCAAGTTAATGATGAGGGAAAGGAGGTTGCTTTGTATTATCTGAGTCGTATGATGCTGGGGGCAGAACAAAACTATTCGGGTTTGGAAAAAATATATTTGGCCTTAGTTTTTGCAGCCCAGAAACTTAGACATTATATGTTAGAGCATACTATTCACTTGGTATCTCGGGCAGATCCTCTCAAATATATTCTTGGAAAATTAGTTTTATCAGGTTGCTTAGCAAAATGGGCAATGTTTTTGACTCAATTTGATATTGTCTATGTACCTCAAAAAGCTGTTAAAGGGCAGGCTTTAGCAGATTTTCTAGCCGCTCATGCTTTGCCAGGAGAAAAAGAAATTGAAGATGATCTTCCCGATGATGAAGTTATGACTACCTTTATAGCCCCTTTATGGGTCATGTATTTTGATGGAGCCAGTCGAGGAACGGGGGTAGGAGCTGGGGTTGTATTTGTTACTCCTAAAGGAGAATCTCTACCATACTCTTTTACATTGACTTCAGCATCATCTAATAATGAAGTTGAGTATGAGGCTCTTGTCATTGGTCTCGAATTAGCATTAGACTTACATCTTGATCTATTGATAGTCTATATATGGTGATTCACAACTTGTTATACATCAACTGAATGGAAAATATGCTGTTAAAAAGAAGGAATTGATCCCATATTTTCTAAAGGCCCAGGAGTTAATCCATCAATTTTAAGAAATTCAAATTGAACATGTCCCCCGCTCTTATAATCATAGAGCGGATGCTCTAGCAAGTCTTGCGGCTTCATTGGCTATCTCTCCGAATACTACTCCCCAAATAAATGTTGAAACTAGGCGAGTACTATCATCGATACTTGAAGAGTCACCACAAGAGACATTAACATCCTCGGCTATTTCGGCTTACATTGAAGAGGAAACAGATTGGTGAAGACCCTTACTGGATTATCTCAACCATGGAATTCTTCCTGCGGATAATCACCAGAGACGACAAATAAAGAAGCGTGCTATACATTATACTTGCATTGAGGGGATCCTCTTTAGGCGATCTTTTGATGGTATGCTTCTTCGATGTTTATCTGAAAATGAAGCTATGAATGCTTTGAAAGAAGTACATGCTGGGGTATGTGGAGCTCATCAATCGGGACAAAGGCTTTACCATCAACTCAAACATTTAGGATATTACTGGCCTGCAATGGCTCGAGATGCAATGCAATTTGCTAAGATATGCCATGTTTGTCAAATTCATGCATATTTTATACATCAACCCCCAGAACCACTCCATACAACTAATGTATCTTGACCTTTTGATGTATGGGGGATGGACATCGTAGGCCCTATTCATCCTCCATCATCCAAGGGACATAGCTATATTTTGGCTGCAACTGACTATTTTTCTAAGTGGGCAGAAGCTATCCCTCTAAAAGAGACACGAGGTGTAGATGTGGTCAATTTTGTTCGTACTCATTTAATATATCGATTTGGCATACCAGCTAGAATTATATCTGACAATGGAACTCCATTCAAAAATCAGGATATGCAGAGACTTTGTGCAAAATTTCATATTAAACATTACTTTTCATCAGCTTATAATGCAGCAGCCAATGGTCAAGCTGAGTCATTCAATAAGACATTATGCAAATTACTGAAGAAAGTGGTCTCCCATAATAAATGAGAATGACATGAGCAGCTTATGGAGAGTTTATGGGCATATCGTACTACTATTCGAACACCTACAGGCTCAACACCTTATGCATTGGTCTTTGGAGGTGAGGTCGTACTTCCACTTGAAGTGCAAATCCCATCTTATAGAGTTGCAATCCATGAAGGACTTTCAGAGGATGAAGCACTAAAGGCTCGACTAGAAGAATTGGATGGTTTAGAAGATAAGCGCTTAAGAGCAAAACAAATTTTGGAGATATATCAGGCTCGTATTTCACGAGCTTTTGATAAAAAAGTTCATCATAGATCCTTCAAGGTTGGCGATTTAGTATTGGCTGTTGTTCGTCCTATGATTATCACAAGGCGAACAAAAAGTAAATTTGAGCCAAAATGGGAAGGCCCTTTCATAGTACAAGAGGTTTATTCAAACGGGGCCTATAAAATAATTTCACCTGATGGAGAGTACTCTCCTCCCCCAATAAATGCAAAATTTCTAAAACGATATTATGCCTAAAGAGGCATCACACTCCAAACTTTTACGAGTATAAACTGTAAGACACTCCAAACTTTTACGAGTATAAACTGTAAGATACTCCAAACTTTTACGAGTATAAACTGTAAGACACTCTAAACTTTTACGAGTATAAACTGTAAGACACTCCAAACTTTTACGAGTATAAACTGTAAGACACTCCAAACTTTTACGAGTATAAACTGTAAGATACTCCAAACTTTTATGAGTATAAACTATAAGACACTCTAACTTTTAAGAGTATAAACTGAAAGAAACTCTAAGCTCTAAGAGTAAAACTTCAATTCAAATAAAGTAATGTTTATACAAAACTAGACTCAAAATATGATCTATCATTTCAGACGAGAGGTCATCTGGAGCTTTCTGGACAAAGTTATGGCCAAAACAAATACAAACTTATATGCAGTCTAGGGCATGCTGAAAATACAGATTGAAATCAATGCTCTTGCATCATCTCATTTTAGAAGAAAAAAAAAGTCTTCAACAACCTCCAAACTCTAAGAGGATAAACTATGAGAAAGTTTGATGCCATACAAGCTTGTCCATCAAAGTTCATTGAAAAAAAAATTCTCTTGTGTATTCAATGATGACATCATCTTTCTTGAGAGATGATTGTAACAATTGCAAGTACAAAATATTAAATATCTATTTGCTATGAAGTAAAATGTCTAAATCTCTAATATAATAAATGAAGTTTATTTTAAAAAAATTATTCATCTCTTAAAAGACATTATATAGGCTAAAAGAGTTTTAAAGCTGGTTGAACATGCTTCGTACTTAGCCTTGAGATGTTGTATATTAGGAGAACTTTGTTGTGCCCGATGAAGCGATTGCATGAAATCTCCTTATTTGTCCAAAGCCTTCTTCAGACGTACTTCCGCTGTGTCAATTTCTTTTAATTCAGTTTCAGCCAACTCAATCTTCTTTTCTAGATTCTGAACCTTTTTTCTCCACTTTACAATCTTTTGATTCATATCATCCTTGCATGATTGATTATGATTAAGAGCAACTTTATGAGCAATTAATGACTGCTCTACATAAGAGATAGGATTTTCTAATGAGTTTAAAAATTCTAGAGAAGATGCCCCGTCAATATGTTCAGACTTAGAAATCAACTCCTGTTGGATCGCATGATACTTTGTGGCAACTACAATAATCTTCTCAAATGCTTTCCTTAACTTACCACCTGAATTACCAAGGGCTCCACACAATGCAATCTTGTTCACTATTAGTTTGATAAAGCCTTCAAAGTCTTGCTCTAAAAGGGCCAAATGTTTCTGTTCATAAAATTCTTTCACAAAAATGGGTAATAGTGCATCTGCAACCGAGCTCACAGAAGGGTCAACCGGTCCTTCATTACTTATATCAACATTATCATCAATTATGGGTGTTGGGGAGGCCTCATCAGATTGTTTTTTATCAACCTTCCTCAAAAGGGATAAGAATAGAGCAGTCTTGACATTATAATTCTAAGATCTCATCTTTGCTCTTAATATGATAAATCCCAGGCATGAAAGGCTGAACTTTAGCAGATGAAGATACATTACATAGAACTTGATCTTTGCATTCTTCAAAAAAGACTTGAATAGCTTGCTCAACTGAACTAAAACTTCCACTCGCCCCGCTACTCATTTGGGGAACAATAATTTGGTCCTGTTGTATTGAAGTATTTTGTTTCGATATATCTTCATGGTTTGAAAGGTTATCATTTGTTCTAGGTTGAGTCTCATCTTCATCGGAAGAGTTACCAGAAGAAGCAGGTTCCCTATAATCTTTAAAAATTATCAAGGTTCTTGACAGAGGATGTATTTTTATCATGTACCTATAAAAATCCTTATGAGTACATATTAAAAAAATAGTCATATGTACAAACTATCACAAAAATACAAGTACCTTGTGTAGTGATGGAGACCTTTGAATTTCAACTGAAGCGGATAAAGTGTGATCATCATCACCTTCTAAATTTACAATCATGTCATTAGCACATACACTTTTATTTCTCACTGGTGAAATGGAAGTAGCTTTCAATACTAGATTAGAAGAAATTCATTACTTTTTCTTAGGATCGTCAACAAAAGAGCATTTTCGCTTGACGATTTGGGTAGACTCTGCTGAATCCTCCGATGATGATGATGACTAAAAAAAAGTGAGCTTTGACATATATCAAAAGTATTAATTTAAAATTTAACTATACCTCATTTTGCTCAGAGCAAAGGGTATATAAATTCTTTACTTCTTCAGCAAAGAAGTTATGATATCCCTCTTGATATCAAATAACATAACTATTAAGGGTATTCCCCATGCGACCATCAGAAGGAATGATGAAATGCTTGCCGGTCCCTAAACAAAAGAAAAATCTCTAATAGCAGTACATCATGCGTAAGGATGTTTCAATACGTGTGCATGACAAACTAAGATCAGGAACTCCTTGATCATAACCAA